TTTGACACAATAACTGAATTTTTGCAATGGAACCTACCTAGATGATTAAGGGATTACACAGACTTCTTACTCTGTCAAAGTAAAAAAAGAATGATCTCAATTCAAAACAGTTGCATTTGCACAATCAATATAGCATTTTCCTCGTATCATGCAGGCCTTCTCCACACAGTGTCCCACGTGTTTCCATCAGCCCCTCACTGTAGTTCACCTCTTTGACATGGGGCTTGATTGATTAGTGGAGAATCAGCCTCGTAATGGTACCGCTGGCATAATGGATTCACTGCCTCTGCCCATCTATATTACCTATTGACTGTAACATTATGGCCTCGTTCCATTTCACTTTAAGTAGTGAGCTTCCAGGACTGCCTCCGTGTTAAAAGCCTTGAGTAAATCTAATCGGCGGGAAAAGTCTGGTGATGAGGTGATGAGCCATCGCTGAGGTCATAAATAAGGCAGTCAGCTCCTTGTAGGCCTGTCACGATAACACATTTTGAAGCACGATATATAGGCTCTGTGTGCACAACATCGCCTAGCAACCACACTGTTAGCGTCACTACTTCCTGTCCAACTGTTTGGGGTTTTTGATGAGTGGTGGTAAAATTTATAAATGTTTTAAGATCAGGCATTGGACAGCAAATAGTGGGTGGATGTAACTGACAACATGTTAAAAAGTACACAAATAATGTGAGTACTTGAGTGGAGGGCACTTCCCTTTTTAGAAAGCGACGTGTTTGTGTCTCAATGCTAATGCTAATGCTAACGTTGAGGCATTATAAATATTGCAACAAAGCTACATATAAAAATAATTGAGTTGTCTTTGAATTGATTGATTGATTTGAATTGATCAGAATTTTAATAGGTTGCTTATTTTATGTTTTCTTATTTTATAGCAATGTAACAATAACCGAAATATCGTGATATTGTATCGTCAAAATTCTCAAAATACTATTGTGGGCCATCACAATATATATCGAATTACAAGTCTCTTTGCTTAAATTAAGAGTTGTGGTGCAGCAATAAAAAAGACAGTGGGAACTACATAGACCATGATCCTTTGCTCCATTTCAGTGCAGACTACAAGAAGAAATAACAGTTCTAAGCACTTTTAAGTCTTACTTCTTTGGATTAAATCTTGTCAAGGCATTTTAAGAGGAAAAAGTAGCATATTAAAAGTTTTGTTTGCCTCCACAAAATTTTGCAATAAATATCATACCATGAGATGTATATCGTGAAAACATCGTACAGAGAGATTTGGTTATTGTTACATCCCTAATCATGAGCTAAATATGCTGTGACAGTATCGTATCGTGAGACTTGGATATCGTTACACCCCTAATATTTAAAAAAAATTTGACTGCTTTGAGATACAGTGAGCTAGCTATTGCGATAAATGATAATATTGAACCTACTTAATGCTACTGACACAAATTTGGATAATCCCAGTAAACCAGTTTTTAAAAAGGTCATCAAAGTATCATTAAAGGCATGAGCTGCAACAAATAAATATCAGAATGAACTAATAATTAACAGCAGAAGTTATTTATTCAACCCTCTACAGCTCAAATTTTACGTTATTACATAAAAATGGCAAAAATCTCTCCATTATTGAAAATAAATTGTACCCACGATAAATATTGAGCCCCAAACTATATTGTTCCAGCATTCATTTGTTGAACATTAAGTTGATAAAGTATATCATGGCTTAGCTACTTGCATAAGTGAACAGCCTAAAATGTAATCGACCTCCATCATTTTTACTTCATCTCCATTTACAGAATACAATATTTGACTAAGCCAGGTCTGCGATTTGGACGCACGCTGTGATCACGGTCATCCCACTCTCATTTAATTTTCATTGGCTTGTATCATACACATTCAACCAGGCAGAATTGAATTGTAAATGGCCGCCCGTTGCTTCATGCTCCACTTTTCTCTTAAACTGTAATGGCAGATAGACAAGTAACTGCTCAACCCCATTCATACATGTTTGTCTTGAAATACTAGCTGTTTAATTTTAAAGCTCCTATATTGACTTCTGAGCTTTAAGCCATGTTAAAATGTTGTTACCTCGTCAAAAACATATCTGGAGTTCTGTTTGTTTCATTCACATGTTTGATTAACCCTTTATTATTAGTCTGTCTACATCTCCAACGGCCATAATGTACTGTTCCACCTTCTGATGTCATGATGCTGTAGTTTTCAAGTTAATGGTTACAAGTTACGGTCCTTTGTTTTATAGAAATGAGCAATTCCAGGGTTAAAATTACCCAATTGATTCTTGTGAAAGTGTATGCAGTTTACAAACAAAGTGGAGCACTTTCTGCTTTACCTCATGACATGGAACAGAGGGTTTTCTGTTTGAGAGAAGAACTCAGCCTAAATATGCAGGGTTTATGTGTTAAACATGTGTAAATGAAACAAAATGCAACTTCAGGTATGTTTGTAACAAACATAATGGATCAAAAAATAGTGTAATTTGGGCCTTTTTAAATAGATATTCTAGTGACATTATAATCTTTTAAAATTATTTTTAGTACTTCTTTCTTGTGTAAATAAAGTGAGATTACTTTATGTAACTTTCGGCTCCACATGTGGTTTGCAGGACAAAAGTTGCTGAGTAAGAGCTTAAAAGGACTCCCAAAATCCTCTCACATTGACGCCCTGTGCACCTCATACCAAGAAAACGTGTTCGGAGAATTTTATTGTGGTTTGGGCAAAGTCACAAAACTCCTTATTGGACTCGAGTCGCTTGGATCAAAATTCTTTCATATTTTCCCTTCTATCCGAACTGTACAAACATGTCTTATGCTACAAATAACACATTAGTTATTATCATTACTTGCACATTCATTATTATTTTTGAGTATCATGGGAGCATAGTTAGTTTAAAAAAAAGTGATCAGGTAAAAATAAATCAAATACTGGTACTGTATCTGTTAGAAGATTATGTGTAACATTTTCATGCCATCTTTTCCTGACATCCTGGGGACTTAAAGGGCCCATATTATTCTATTTTCTGATCTATGTTGTAATGTTGTATCCTCATATGTAGACCGAGTTCTTCTCTCAAACAAAAAACAGACTGTTCCACCTTGTGATCATGTCATGTGGTAATACAGGAAGTTTTTCACTGTGTTTTTAAGCTCTGTACACCTTCACTAGACTAATTTGGATGATTTCAGGTATGGAATTTCCAATCTCTACTAAACAAAATGTAAAAGGTAATTGTTAAGTTGAAAACTGCTGCTTCACAACATCAGAAGGGACTAAGCATTTTGAGCTTAAGAGATGCTGACAGATGAATAATAAAAGGTTACTCAAACATGTGTGACTGAAACAAAACAACTCCAGGTATGTTTTTGATGAGGTGACAGCATTCTAACATGGCAAAAAGCCCACAAGAGTTAATTTTGCAAAATATAGGGCCTTCAAATTACAACAGTTCCAGTTTGTAACAATACAATACAATTATGACTGATGTATATAATGATAATATAATCATTTTGTTGAATAGTGGGCTGAGTTTAAGGGCAATGGAGGTAGCTTGTCCAGGTGAGGTAACAGGGAGTAGTCATCAGGGAGTAGTCTTCAGCTTTATTTTTCTCTCTATGACTAACATTTTGTACCATATGTGGGCTGGACAGTAGAGTGAAGTAATATGCTACAACGTGGAGTCATAGGCGCTTTCATCAGCTCAGCCTGCATCCTAGGGCTCTTTCACTAGATGAAGAGGCGCTGGGGGAGTGCACGTGTGGGAGGAGAGGTACTGTTCTCGCCAGGTGCCTTGAAGTGGAAATGAGTCGAAGGTGTGTTTGTGCATCAAAACGTGCTTAAGGGAAAGTCAATACATCTCCACATCGTGTTTTAGATATTATTCCTCAGTTGGGACTACCTTTTAGAACAAGACCTAACCTGTCTTTAGCTTGGACACCCCTGCACCTCGCTATTAGATGTGCCTCTATACACATGATATACTTGTTATTCTCGTCCCATCCTTCCTTTGTCAGCAGTGTCCTGTGATGTGCAGTGCGAGAGAAACAGTTGCCAAGGGAGCCATGTCTATTTCACAGTTCTTTCCTCTCACCACTGCCAGCCAGTTTCATGGTACTCCAGCTGAACCCTGCTATTGTACCAAACAATGTAAATGTTCTGTTGAGCTGTGACATTTCTGTGGCATTTCAGCAGTTCCCTGACACCAACTGGCTGATTAGCTGTCAACAAAGACCTACTTGCAATCTTCACTACATTTATAGGCTCTGCGCACGTGGCATATGCTGTGCCAGTGGTCCCAGTTGAGGTTCAAAGCGCGGGCAACCCAATTATGATTTTGACACAGATCTACTGTTATCGGGATTGACTAAAACTTGGGGCTGTGACGATGTAATTGAATTGTATTAATGTGATCATGTGAATGACCTAGACAGGAGACGAAGACTTTGATCCTGATAATCTTTCATTATTAAACCCACGACTCGGCTTTTCATGGGCCGGTCTACTCCATCTGTGCACATTTTCACCTGTGTGATGAGCTGTAGTGTGGACAGCATAGGTCCATTCTAGTGCCTTAATAATCTTAGTTGTATTTTTAAAGTCTTTTGTAGTTCAGTCATCTCGTTGATTTTACAGGCAGTTACATATTTTATTTGGTGGTTATACTGCTCATTTTGATAAATGATTATGCTTGTGAATTCATGCTTTTCAGGGATTGTACCATATATCATCCCACTGTGTTATTCCAAATTGTGTGTGTTATTCTTTTTGTTCTTGTTTTGATGGCCTGAAAGTTCAGTTTTTGACCTCAATTAGTTTTTATGCTGACCTGGCTGCATTCTGCTCCCAAAGGAGTTTCTTCTTTCCTGATTTATTTTTGCACAATTCTGGCTCATCTTAACCTCTTGTCCTTACTTTCTTGTTAGTTTTCCTTGTGACCATGATTCAGTCCATCACAGGTGGTTTATATGTTTTGCATCTCATTTAACAGGCAAATAACCAACAATCAGCAATGTCTGAAGGCATTTGTTTTGTTCTGTAGGTTTGGGGAAAACAAAAAGGAAGACCAGTGCTAGAGACACTTCTCCAACGCCGAGCTCTGATGCCGAGTATCCCTCAAATGGCAGTGGTGGAGGGGGCGGAGCCGCTGAGAGAATCTATGATCTCAACATCCCCGCCATAGTCAAGTTTGCCTACACTGCAGAGCGTGATGACGAGCTGACCCTGGTCAAGGGCTCCCGTGTGGTGGTGATGGAGAAGTGCAGTGATGGCTGGTGGAGGGGCAGCCAGGGCGGCCGTGTGGGCTGGTTTCCTTCTAACTATGTCCAAGAGGAGTCGGGGGGAGCTGAGGACGGAGGGGAGGGGGACACCTCTCGGGGATACCTCAGCTCTCAAGGGACATTATTGGCCAACGGGCGAGCAGGAGGTCGTGTTCTGCACCTAGTCCAAACACTCTACCCCTTCAGCTCTGTGACAGAGGAGGAGCTGAACTTTGAGAAAGGAGAAGTGATGGAGGTGGTGGAGAAGCCGGAGAACGACCCTGAGTGGTGGAGGTGTAAGAACTCACGAGGGCTGGTGGGGCTAGTGCCTAAGAACTATGTGATGGTGCTGGAAGAGCGGCCTGCGCTCTCCTCCTCCACCTCGGGCTCCCCCAACCGCCACATAGCCCCGGCACGCTCAGGGAAGTTTGCCGGGAGGGACTGGTACTATGGGGCTGTCACCAGGCACCAGGCAGAGTGCATCCTCAATGAGAGGGGGGAGGAGGGAGACTTCCTCATACGGGACAGTGAGTCATCGGTGAGTCAGGATCTCAACACACTGAAATTTGACATTCAATCAATGTAAACACTTTCACTTAATATGATTTTGATAGAAATTGACAATAAACACTAGAAATCCACTTTTAATAATTTTAGTTTTACAAGCTTTTTACCTACTATACACACTATCATGTCCCATATACTACATATATTAGGAACTTTGTCCTTTTAGTGTTACTTGGCATAGACATATGAAATTAATAAAGCAAGGTTAACTCTTTAGTGCAGTGAGATAAATAATTGAGGGCTTAGTACACACTGCCCTCTGTTGGTGGAATTGCGTGCCTCTAACCTATTGTCTTGTGTATCTGTTGCAGCCTAGTGATTTCTCCATCTCCCTGAAAGCGGCTGGCAAGAACAAGCACTTCAAAGTGCAGCAATCTGAAGGGGTGTATTGTATTGGCCAGCGCAGGTTCAACTCTATGGACGAACTAGTAGAGCATTACAAGAAAGCCCCCATTTTCACCAGTGAACATGGGGAGAAGCTGTACCTGGTGAAAGCGCTGCTGTGATAAACCCCTCCTTTGTCTACACTGGATCTGACACAATTCTTAAGTCACTCCCGTCTTAACAAGCCTTAGCCTTGGACCCTGCTTCAGTGAAGGGGAACGTGTCCTCTCCTAGGTTTTGTTTTTCACACACAAATTGTATCTAGTGCCCTCCAGTGGAGACTCACAGAATCTGTGCTTGGTCCATAAAGTCCATGGAAATCAAGCACTGTGTGAACTTGCAGCCACATCCCTGCACTAATTTGCCTCTTTTTTGGGGGTGGTGACTAGATCCACTACAATAGACGCCTACAGGGCCTTGTGGGAGTGGCGCTTTCATGATGTCATACATAATGTCCATCTTCTACAGCACACATTTAAGTTACACCATTGCTCTTAATCCACTCAGCAGGACGGGGACACTTTAAGAGGACATAGCCTCTTTGGACCTTACCCTGATGTCTCTTGTCCTGTTTCAGCCATGTTTTATTTTTTTTGTTTTTAAAAGATACTAAAATACCCTTTTCTGAGCTGTAGATTTTTCAGATCTCTATAGAGTGAATAATCACAAATGATTTCACAAAGTGACCAGTTACTCTTGCCTTTACCTCCTGTTTTTTCATTGATCATCTACATGATTTCTCTACTTTTATGCCATCAAAGCCCGTCTTGTCTATCTTTTCACAATCTAGGATTGTGATGGCAGTTTCCCTGTTCTATTTGGAGAACTGTTGCAATAGAGGAGATATTAGTAGAGTTTGAATGTTTTAGTGTAACCAAATGTGCCACTTTGTACCCATACTGCTGGCTTCAGGTCGGCACTGCACCCATTAAAGTTCCATTTATTTTCATGCTCTTTACAATGGATCACAATCAGTACGTCCCAGTATATGTCTGTGAACACACCAGGACTGATGAATGATTCAAACACACTTACATTATAGCCCCTACAGATCAATAGAAACTTTTTTGTGTTTTTGTGATAATATGAGGAGCCTTTATGGGACATGTGATTCAGACACTAAAATATAACATTAAAAATTAAATGTTTGCCCTACTTTACATCATTACCCGTACAAAAATCTGGATGCTGAACAATTATTTATTATGGCAAGCTGGCTTTCACTGTTAATAACCAAATACACTGTCACATGGGTTGTAGTAATAAAAAACCTACCAAACATCTGATTCTGTTAGTACATGTGTTTACCAATGGAAGTGTTGATGGTGGTCTCAGCTTTTATATATCTGAATGTTATTGAGCATTGTTATTTAATTCTTGTCTCCACTGTATGTATATAATCAAAGGTGCATATATGAGATGATGAGATCCAACAATGGTACTGTACCACCGACAATGATGAGAATTTAAATACATTTGTTCAATAAAATTTTTGAAGAATACCAAGAATGAGCTGTGTGGTTCTTGTTACTGGGCAATGGAGGGTCAGAGGCATTTTGGTGTGTGTGTGTATATGTATATATGTATATATGTATATATATGTATATATATATATATATAAATAAAATATTTTTGCATTGTTTTTTATTGTTTTTCAATTTGACTAGACCGTTTTGTGTGGTGGCCCATTTTTGTTCAAGATTTTACAATAAGGACACTTACACGATACATGTGAAACATTATTTATGAATTATTTTCTTCACATTATTTTATCATGCAAGAAGGTCTAAATTATTTTTGCTCCAATTGCTCTTGATTACCCCTGGTCTCTAAAAAACTTTGTACAATTTTGGATGGGCTGGCAATTCTTCCTTGATATCACTAGGGGGCAGTCTGTAGCTGTAGCTTTGTGCATGTGTTTGTTCACAAATACATGGGGGAAAAAAAGTGACCTCAGGTATTTCTCAATTGTATTTGCTGAGGTATTAATTTAAAGCGTGGAAGGCTTCATGCTAACTGGGACTAAAATGTGCACATTACTTGTTGACTTGTTAATCAAATATAATTAAAAACGAACAAAGAAAAACAAAGAATATGGAAGCTTTTAATCAGTCAAATGCAGGCCGTTGCACGTTGTCAAGGTCATTGTCAGGGTCTACTTTTATTAAATGTCTTATCAAAACAGAAAAAATAACCCTCCCAAACAACAGCCCGACCTTATCAAAGGCAGACTCCACGTTTCTGCACTGACATGAAACCAGCCGCTGAGGAAAACTGGGAGATTGATGTTTGCAGCGAAATGTCTGGACAGAAGTGAGTAAATAACCACCAGCCTGTGTGTGTGAGCCATAGGTCTACTCAAATGTTTTTAAAATGCTTTGAGGAGCACAGGATGGCCTAGATTTTATAATGCACCACGGATAGATGGGATTTCTTGGAGGTGACTACTGCTAAAATGCAAGTCAAAAGTTTGTTTGGAGAACATGCGTCGCCATCTGGCTCAAAAGAGGATACAGCTGTGGTAAATAAGAAGTGCTAAAAACAGCCTAAGGGAAGTACTGATCTATACTCCGAATGACATGACCCAGTGAAATGACTTTGATTTGATTTCCTGTGACAAATGAAGTCCAATTAAATCATTTACTTTTATGATCTGAAAGTAGAAAGGCTGTAAAAAAAGAATGATAACGTCTTAATGATTGGATATGTTTCTTTGATCTATGTTATAATTTTGTTTCCTCATTGCAAACGTACCTGGAATTGTGTTTTCTTTCTTTCACAAACACTGCATATTTAAGCTGGCTCTTCTCTCAATCAGAAAACAACATACATCTTCACTAGTATTATTTTAATTTAATTTCAGCCTTGGAATTGACATCTCTACTGAACTAAAGGGAAAAGGTAGCACTACATGGCATCACAAAGTGGGACAGAACATTTTGAGCTTTGGAGATGTAGACAGACTAATAAAGGGTTACTCAAACATGTGTTAATAAAACAAAACACAACTACAGGTATGTTTTTGAGGAGGTAACAACATTATAACATGGCTTAAAGCTCACAACTTTGTATAATACAGAACCTTTAAACACTGATTGATTTTCCTGTTCATTCAGAAAATCTTTTAATTCCTTCTATAAAACCTTTTCAGTTCAATGGTAATTTAATATGCATTTCTTTGCCAATGACTACTTCATACATTTTCCTTTACAGACTGAAATCAAAACTGTATTTGATTTGAAATGATGTCTCAAGCTGCAAGGCTCTGCACTGAAGTTACAGCCTTGGGCAAATAATAATCACAGCACATCCAGGCGTCTGGAAACCTGGAAGTACCATACTGGTGATTGACGCATGTAGTGTAGGTGATGCTGGATTAGATGTAAGGACAGACACGCACATGCACACACACGCACATACAAACACAGCACCTTTAAGTGCCAATCTGTTTGTGAGGCCAGATGTATTGATCGCGAAATCAATGTATGCCTCCATTACAGTATAATCAAGCATAAGTCTGTACCATCTGCACATAGGACTAATGGAAATGCTTTCACCTCACACTTTGGCTCCTGCATCTTTTCAGAAATACTTTTAAGGTGACTTCAGACGCTGGGATTTGAATGGACAAAGTGGCACCGCAGACTTTGCCCGGCATTCTCTCTCAACACACTGAAAAGTCTTAACACATTATCTTGTTAGTATAAAATACCACTATTCATTGAATCTCTCCCCTAAAGAGCGAGCAGACCACAAAAGACAAATACATCAGTGATAATAAAATAAAGGAAAGCCAGGAGCTACATTTGAACTCAAAAGCACTCTGCCTTGACTGCCTTTGTCTTAGAGTCAAAAGTCAAAAATCACCAGACAAAATATAAACATGCACAGAGCAGATAGTGACTGTGCAGTGAAAAATACATATAGACACATGTATTATTATTATGTGAAGTAGGGGTGTGCAAAAACTTTTTGGTATCTTTTAGCATTTTTTATATATTTTTTTGTGTTGCTTATTTAATGGAACGAAACTTGTTCACTATTTTCACTACAATTAAAATAGATGCACTAAACACAAGTAGTAGTTTAACAAAAAATATTGTTGCTAAACTGTATTTGGTTCTTAAAAACAGCAATATATGACAGAGCATAAAGTGCAGTTTATCAATTATCGCATGTATCGCCATAATCGTGATAATATCATATCATGAGCCATTTATCAAGAATCGTAACGAATCGTGAGGGACCCTGTGATTCCCAGTCCTAATCTGAAGTGGAGCTCTGGAGGCCTAGCTGTTTGCTCACTCAGCTGCTAGTTGATGGATTGACCCCCTGTCCTCCAATTAATTCTGTTGTGTCCTTGGGCAAGACACTACAACCAGCTTGCTCCCAGTGTCATGGCAGTGTGTGCATGAGTCTGCGCCAGGGCAGTGAATAATGGACTTGTGAGCTTTGTGTGATTCTGAAAGCATGAATGACCGTTCATGAGCCATGACTTTAATATAGCCTCACTGACACATCTAGATATTGTATTCCAGTGTCTCTACAAAGTATTTAGTACATGATTGTATCTTCCCTTGACAAGTTAGAAACTATATGCGACGTGGGAGTGAAAAGGAGCAAAGCAGCCCAAGGCAAGAGCTGAATCCAAACTGCTGCTGTCTGCGGCCTTGTGCACCCTTTGCTCCTTCAGCAATAACATTCTGAGAACCATTATATACACATGCACCAATTAGCACTGAGAGAGATGTATGCATACAAATACTAAAATTATTGTTAATTTTTTACACAGTTTAGTAGTGATCAGGCCTTAAAACTGGACCAATTAAACAGTTTAAAGCTATTTAAGCTGTTTAACTTTTTAAAACCACATTCTACTAATTATTTTTCATTGTAGGTAATGGATTGTCATTTTGTGTTTTTCAGAGGGACAAGGGCCGCAGTGAGACAACTGTAGACTTCACTGTGCTCTATGTGAGTGTAATCCCTCCATCGTCCAGGGAGGATCCATAGCAAAAAAAATCAATATTGTCAACTGGACAAAAGTGTTTTTTTTTTGTTTTTTTTTACTGAAGACGTTTTGCAGCTCATCCAAGCTGCGTCTTCAGTTTTGGTCAGATTGCTGATGGACATATATCTGCCTAAAGGAAGGAGCTAACTACACTGAAACTAATCCAATCCAACTTTATTTGTATAGCACATTTTACAAACAAAACAGTTTCCAAAGTGCTTCACATAGCAATGCAAAACATTTTACTTTAAAAAGAAAAAAACTCAACAGAAATATGTTTAATAAGGACACTGATAGAATAAATTAATAAAATAATAATAATAAAATCAATGAACAAAAATAATAAAATCAATACATAAAAGCAGTCCTAAAAAATAAAAGAGATAAATAAATAAATAAATAAAAGACACGGAGGACCAACCACACAAGTCACACGGTATTAAAAGCCAGAGAATAAAAGTGGGTCTTAAGACGAGACTTAAAACACTCCACTGTGGGGGCTGTTCAGATGTGGGGGGGCAGAGCGCTCCAGAGTTTGGGGCTGGCCACAGAGAAGGCCCTGTCCCCCCTGTTTTTTAAGTCTCCACGAGCTGGAGCTGGCCCTTGGACCTCAGAGTGCGTGCGGGGGTGTAAATTTCGATGAGGTCCGAGATGTATTGTGGGGCCAGTCCATTCAAAAACAAATAATAAAATGAAAAAACAAATAATAAAATGAAACTAACATACCTACTTGTTTACAGTGTTTATGTTAACCAGGTCTGTTGAACTACACTATATCACTTAGGCACAGTTCACATTTAGTGTAGTTCATTAGACCTACAGACAGAAACTGTAAACAACTAGGTGTGTTGGTTTCACTGCGGTTTCTCCTCCCTTCAGGCAGATATAAGGCAGTGTCCAGCAACAATCTGACCAGAACTAAAGAAGCAACTTGGATGATCTGCAAAACGTTTTCACTCAAAAAAAAAAAAACCTTTGTCCAAAATAACCTTTGCTACTGTAATCAGTGATAATAAATGTAGCTTATCACTATCAGGCTACATGTCTAGAATCAAGAAGAAATTACAAAAGTTTTTTTTTCATAGCCTTCAGCCTAAACAGTCTATTTTACGGTTTCAAGGTAAAATGAAGCCTGTATCTATTCATGAATGCTGCCTTTTCTTTAAGTTATTGCATTTGCTTCTGAAGAATGCTCAAGATGTTATTAGAAGATGCCACTATATTGTCCTTCACAAATGCTTTAGGGGCACAACAAAGGTAAAACAGCACTGACAATCAAACATTGTCATAACACGCGCCTGGAGGAAAAAATGAGTCATTGTGTGATAGAAAACGTGGTGTACTGAGTAAATTCCGCTGCACATGTGCTTTGTCGCCTCAATCCCTTTAAGCACCGCTCACCTTTAAAGAACAAATATAAAGGAAAAGTCCAAAAAGCGCGAGGTCCGGACGCGCAGAGGGACGTGGCGAGACCAGGTGCGAAGAGCGTCCGTGCCCC